GGGGGGGGGGGGGTGTTCCAGGCCTCGCTGGAAGGTCGCCTGGAGGAGGCCATCGAGGAGACCAGCCGCTTGCGGCAAGAGCTGACCGCGGCGATATCGGGGTCGACAGCGTCTCAAGAGGGAGCCGCCGAGGCGGTGGCTAAGGCGGAGGTATGCCAGCACAGTCCGTGCGGAGAGAGAGGGAGTGAGCGACAGACAGGCAGACAGACAGACAAGACAAGACAGAGAGAGAGATAAAGAGAGGGAAAGAGAGAGAGATAAAGAGAGGGAAAGAGAGAGAGAGAGAGAGGGAGACAGAGACAATGGACAATGGAGGGGGGGTGGGTTATCTCTCTTTCGAAAATGGTCCGGTGTCGTGAGGTTGGATGTTTTGGTCTTGAGAGGGCGCCGACAGACCCTCAGAAGAACGGGTTCGATATCGAGACAAGGCGTTTGAGATTGTTCACGGGGTGCGGATAAACATCCTGCTGAACCAGCGCTCGTCGCTCTGTCGCTCAATCGGCATCTTGTCTCTGGTGCTGAAGCGTGGTCGGCATTGCTGTAGCAGGACCCGTAGTGAAGCCTCACCGCACGAAGTAGGTCAATTCAGTCAGGTCAGCGTTTCCTTTTTGCGACAAGTGGGCCGGCTACGTTTGTGTCGAAACCATCGCCGCATTGCGGTCTCGTGGCCGCGAATGCCGCGACAGCCTTGCGGTGCTGCCACTCCGTTGAAATATACCTGCGGCTGATGCCAGTCACTGCTGGCATCGCTGCGGCGTCTTCGTGCGCTATTTTGATGGTGATGATGATGATGATGATGATGATGATGATGCATTTGGTTGAATATCGGTGGTTATTGCCTGCTTGGTGTTTTTACGTTTTTTTGTCGATGACGTCGTGGTTAACAATCGAAGTTTGTTGCCTGTTGTTTTACCACGTTTTTTTTTCCATGACGTGGTGGATGACAATTGGTGTTTTTTTTTTTTCTTGCGTGTCGGTGGAAACTCCGTGAAGGGGGAGCGTGCCGCGCTTGAGGAGCAGGTGGCCGGTCAGAAGGACAAGCTCAAGAAGGCGGCGGCAAGGCTCCGGTCTCTCAAGGAGGTGAGGAAAGGCGAAAGGGGCTCTCGGCGTGGATGGAGTGTTTTTCCGGGTTACCAACGTTGTGATGGCAGCCCGTGCTATTGTCGTTGTTGTTGTTGTTGTTGTTGTTGTTGTTACTGGTGCCGTTGTGGGGTCCCTTTGAAGCGCAACCCACTTTTCGTTTGGTGGCTGCTTCGAAACCCTAAGCTGCCGCCGCCGCCTCCTCCGTCCCATTCCCATCCACGCCATCTCGCCCCCCTTTCAACTCCTCCCGGCATCGGCAAACGAAACCGAACAAATAACATCGAATTTCAGGAAAGAGATGCCGCCACCGAGAAGGTGGCCTCCACGGCGGCTCTCCTGGAAACTTCCGAGAAAAATCTGGCGGACGCCGAGGCGCGCAGCCGCTCCCTCGAGGAGGCTATTGGGGGCGAGGAACAGGCGGCGGCGGCGGCTTTGCGAGATGCGGAGGGGAGGGCGGCGGCCTCTGCGGAAGCTTTGGCCGCGCTGGAGCAAGAGGCCTCGGGGCTTCGCGAGGAGGTGTGCTTGTGTGTGTGTACTTATTATTGGCATCGACCGCGCTAACCGGCTGACCAATGAAAAGACGTCAGTCTCAGTGCGGTTGTGTGTGTGTGTGTGTGTGTGTGTGTGTGTGTGTGTGTGTGTGGCTGGCTGGCTGGCTGGCTGGCTGGCTGGCTGTTGGTCTGTCTTGTTATGTGTTGTGGTGCACGCCACCTTTGTCGTCGTCGTCGTTGATTTTGTGCGTCGTGTTTTTTGCATGCTCCGCAACGCCGTGTCATGGCACCACAGCTGCGTTCTCGCGGCACGTCTGTGTGTGTGGCGGGCGTTCTTCTGTATTCCAGCAGCAAGAGGCTCATCGTCCTGTGGTAAGGGAGCAAGCAGCAAGCATCGCTAGCTTCATCTT